TGGACCCTATCCACCCTCCACAGAAAGAAGTGGCAACCCGCACGATAAAAAACCCTTGCCATTTCCTTCCCCCACCCCCAAAAGAAGATGTCTTGGTCTTAAAATAATCTTTTTTTTTTGTCAGTGCTCCCTTGCCTACCCTTTTCCCTATAAAAGTCTTCCATTTTGTATAACCCCTTGGAGTTGCTAAATGGATGCTGCCCAATTTGTGAATCACATAATAAAGTCAATTAAATAGTCAAATTTACTCAGTCGAATTTTGTTTTAATAGTAGTAATGAAGAGATGAGGCAGAGTGTTAAGCAAGGACCAGACTGTAGAGGACCTTGTAGGCTGTGTTACAATATTTTGACCTTTGTTCTAAGGGCAGTGAGATCAGCCATTAAAAGGTTTCAGGTAAACTGAGAACTGTGTCTTAATAAGACCCTCTGACTACTGGTGATGTGTAAGACCAGTGAGGTGGCTGTCGAAGTCATAGAGGTTTGCATTTAGATTCTGGCTGAAGAAGGCAGACAAACATAAATTGTATAAAATATTAACAGCATGCCCTGACTGGTGTGGCTCAGTGGGCTGGGCATCATCTTGCAAATTGAAAGTTCACCAGTTCAATTCCTGGTCACATGCCTGGGTTGTGGGCCAGGTCCCCGATTCGGGGTATGTGAGAGGCAACTGATTGATGTTTTTTCATGTCAGTGTTTCTCTCCATCTCTTTCTCCCTCCCTTCTCCACCTGCTCCTCTCTCTGTATATATATTCATTCAACAAACTCTGATAGAGCTTTTGCCAGGCTTTAGGCCTGTTCCAAGAGCTGCAGCAGATACAGAGATGATTAAGGTACAAGATGTCACCACATAGAAGTAACATCCCAATAAAAATCATACCCTCTGGCCCTGGCTGGTGTAGCTCAGTGGACTGAGTGCAGGCCTGCAAACCAAAAGATTGCGGTTCGATTCCCCGTCAGGGCACATGCCTGGGTTGCAGGCCAGTTCCCAGCAGGGGACGCCACGAGAAGCAACCATACGTTGATATTTCTCTCCCTCTCTCCTTCCCTTCCCTTCTAAAGATAAATAAAATTTTTAAAAAATCATACCCTTTGGCCTTCCTGTGATCCCTGCCTTGTCAGTACCTGCTCTGTTTTTGGTCCTGGTCTACTTCACATCATGTACATATTTTTATACCCTCTTCTCACCTCCAGGCCAAATCAAAATTAGGTGCTGGATACAACGATGCAACTTTGAACAAACAGGAATTATTCTCCTTGCTATTATGCTCACAGTAATAAAGGAGCCAGTTCTCTAAACTGGAGTTTCTGTCAAATAGAGAATAAATGTCTACCTAACTCACAGGGCTATTATGAGAATAAAAAAGAAATTGAAGGGGATTTGCAAATGTGAAAGGTGTTTGGACGATAGGTAATCCTTCCATTTGAACTGCCCTCTTTACAGTCATGCGCCACATCACATACATGAAGGCAGTCCCATAAAATGGAGCCGGAAAATCTCTCTTGCCTAGTCATGTCATAATGCCACAGCCCAACACACTACACAAACACCATTGTGTTACAGTTGCCTACAGTACATAGTACAGTAACTTGCCACGCCATACAGGTTTGTAACCTGTGCTGTAGGGGACAGAGTTTGTCACCCCCAAATATGTATATTTGGCATAAGGATTATTTTAGGCCACTTAATTTTAAGAAACAGCAGCCATGGGAGAAACTCAGAAAGCCAAGTGGAAGTTACCTTGTGCAAAAGACATTTACACTGTAAGGGAACCCACACTTGTAAGGGTGTCTGCCTTGCTATTCCAGGAAGGAGGGGATGACCTTATCTATGACACTTACAATGCTGAAGGCCAAGATTAAACCTGCGTGACAGCCTTACACTTTTTCACTGTACTTTTCCTGGTAACTTCCTGCAGCTGACTCCTCCCCTTCCCCAACAGTTTCTCTTCAGCTGAAGACAGTATTTAAGGTGGTGGCTTTAGCCATTTTGGTGAGTTAGTTGCTCAGCTTTCATGGGCCTTGCCCAAGTATACTGAAGGTATACATTTTATTAAACTTTTGTTTGTTTTTATACTACTATGTCTTTTATTATAGGGATGTCTCATTCAAGAACCCAGAAAGATAAAGGGAAAATTTCTTTTTTTCCCCTACAGAGAACAGGCTATCCCATATAGCCTAGGTGTGCAGTAGACTATACCATCTAGCTTTGTGTAAGTGCACTCTCTCATGTTTGCAAAGGAAATCGCCCGATAATGCATTTCTCAGGATGTATCCCCACCGTTAAGCAGGACATGATTGTACTAGTGTTGACTTTATTTCACATTTATTCAACAGATGTTTTTTGAACATTGAACTTGTGTTAGTGTTAGCGGTGAAATGGCACCAGAATGTTACTAGTGATTGGACCTCAGTTCAGCAACCTCAGGACCAGAGTTCTAGCTAAGGAGCCAAGACTCAAACACAAGCAAGTTTATTTAGACAGTCTCAGGGGTAGAAACACTGAACCAGCTGTTCAGTGTATAGGCTCAGGTAACAGGTTACAGAGGCAATAGAAGGGCCCTTGGAATTAGGAGAAAGAAAGCAACGATATACGCACCTGAGGGAAGGTGAAGGGGAAAACCTTGGGTTGCTTCAGAGAGAACTAGCCCTGGGGAAGGAATGGGGTGGGGCAAAGCACCCTTCTGGGTGACAGGGGGAGGGGGAGGGGGAGGTAGAGGGAGACAGGGCTGAGTCCTTTACCTTAAGAGTTTTTATCTGTTCCCAAAGGCAGGGGAGGTCTCAGGAGGATCTCATTAGAATATTTTTCAGCTTTCCTCTTGTGTCCTCTCAGAGTCATGGTCTCCACTGATTGGTTGGCACCTAGGCAAAAGATCATTAGTCATTACAGCTGGTCTTGATGTCAGCTATGGTGTCACCCCTCCTGGCCTTGCTGCTCTGAGCCTGGTGAGAAAACAACTGTGGCCTAGATATTATCTCTAGGGCTTAATGCTTAAGGGAGTACTCATGCAAGGCTATTAAGGCTATTCTCTGGCCCCCTTGTTCCTCCTGTAAGGGGGCAGCCTACAGCATGACTAGTAACATGCTGGGGGAGGAAAGGTCATCCTAGGGGCAAAGTCATCCTAGGGGGCAAAGTCCCACCCCAGTTTTGTCCGTTGCTAGGCACCAAAGGCTTTCCACCCTGGTGAACTTCTGTACCTGGTCTATCGTTCCTTCTCTGCTCATGTCTGACTGCCTACTACATTAGGAGTTGAAGGTGTAAGGATAAACAAGATTCAGTCTCTGCCTTCATGGAACTTACATTCTAATGCACACTGGAGCACCGTGGGTCAAGTTTGTTAAAAAATTCAACCCTGGCTAGTGTAGCTTAATGGATTGAGTGCGGGCCTGTGAACCAAAGGATCACAGTTTGATTCCCAGTCAGGGCACATGCCTGGGTTGCAGGCCAGTTCCCAGCAGGGGACTCACGAGAGGCAGCCATACATTGATATTTCTCTCTCTCTCTCTCTCCTTCTCTTCCCCGCTAAAGATAAATAAAATAAAATATTTTTTTAAGTTTAAATAAATAAATAAAATCTGAAAAAAAAATTCAACCATGTAACCTTGAAGATCTAATTGGCATTATTAAACGATTCATTGGGCAGCATCCTATAGCAACTGGTAGGGTGCTCCTAGAGAATTGTATGAAGTGGAACTTTTAACAGAAGAAAGTATTATTTTTAGGCCAGGACATCCCGCAGATTGTCCAACCTTTTGGCATCTCTGCACCACACTGGAAGAAGAAGAGTTGTCTTGGGCCACAGATTAAATACATTGTGACATGTGATCACACACACAAAAACAAACCTCATAATGTTTTAAGTAAATTTACAGTTTTGTGTTGGGCTGCATTGACAGCCATCCTGGGCTGCATGTGCCCTGCGGGCCTCAGGTTGGACACCCCTGTTAGGGAGAAGGAATGGCAAGGGTTTTTATCACACAGATTGCCTCTTCTATCTTTAGGGGGCTAGAGGGAATGGAAAGAGCCCACGTGATCATTGGTTCTTGGCCAGAATATTCTGGATAGATTCAGATTACATTACTGGGAGAAGTTCGAAACTGCAATTAAACTAAGTATTAAATCTATGTAGGGTATGGCTTTTACAGTGATGCTATTTTGGGCTTATGGTTTTAACAAGGTAAAAAGAATTTGAAAGTCACTACTTACCCAGTCCCATCACTGCAGGGAATAGAGGCTAGACAGAGGAGCCAGAAACATCTCCCCTTGTCATGCTTTTTTTGCTCCTCACTGCCAAGCTCTTCATTGCCCTTGACCCCACGTGGCAGGTAGGCCTTCCCCTTTAGTGGGGGGAGGGGGGATTATCTAAATAATATTTAAAAGAATGGACCCTCTCTGCAAATAATGCCAACAGCTTTTTAAATTCCCAGTAGTATTCCTGGTTATTGTCTGTGTACTGCAGTCTCTGGATGTATGCTTAACAGACCCAGTTTCTGTCCTCTTGCATTGTAAGAGTAGCAGAGGCCCTGGAAACCCTGTGGTAGTTGTTCTGACCTTGTAGGCACTGAGAAATCACATAGCCTCCAGGGTCCTAGATTTCTGAGAAGGTCCTATAGCTCACCTCAGGGCGGAGGGTGGGACGGGTAGAGTAAGACTGGTCCCTGGAATTAGGTGACCCAATACCGATTCTCCACCTTCCTCTTCCCGCTATTTTCAGTCCTAGGAGCTAACCACCGAGAGGAGAGGAAGCCTCAGATTTTATTGTGGCAGCCTCCGTGGAGGAAGAAGGCACACACAGGGGAACCCGGAAAATGAGTGTGGGGACAGGAGTGGCATTGCCCGCAGTGCGAGGACGGTGGGATTGACAGTGGGACCTGTGCCACGCGTGCGCTTTGCTAGGCCCACCAGTGAGCCCGCTGTGCCGGAGGAGGAGGCGGCACTCCACTGCGGGTGGAAGCTTGCTGTCGGCTACACGAGGCGGTTGGCTCTGGGTTTAGGGGCGGGACCCGCTTCCGTTGCTTGCCGGAAGTGGCTCTCCGCCCCTGATAGTGGGCCATGGAGTCACTGGCACAGTAACGTCTGAGGTGTAAGGATTGCGGGGCCAGCGGCTATGGAGGCCGTGCTAAACGAGCTGGTGTCTGCGGAGGACCTGCTGGTGAGGCCTGGCCCCGAGGGAGGGAAAGGAAAGATTCGGGCGAGCGGGTCCTGAAGAGAATCGAATGTGGGCCAAACTCTTTCCATCACCAGCTTTGCCTAGGAAAGCCGAACTACTGCTCCCGGCAGCCTTTGTAGCGTCCCGCTCCAAGAGAGAGATTCCACTTTACCCCAAAGGCTAGTGGGAGTTGTAGTTCCTGCGCCACCAAGCCTCAGACTCAAGGCCTGGAGTCCGGTGTGTAAAGACTGATGGGTTCTGGGTGCGTGCAACAGTTAGGTCAGGGTCCTAAGCTGTCTTTGAGTGCCCCCTCAGTGGCGGGGGACTTTAGCGACCACCATAAAGTGTCATATTTTACTCACGGTATCCATCACGGTGCCAAATGCATGGCAGGCAATATCTCAAAATCTTTGAGTTCTAAGAGGTAGGCACTATTCTTGAATTACCCTTTTGCAGATGGGAAAACGTCCAGACCCGCAGGGTGGGGCGGGAAGGGGGCAGCAGTCTCTGACGATGGACTGCGTGGGCTGTTGAGCTGTTCTGAGTGTTGTTGAACAGTATGTTTACTGTTCAGCCACTCGGGGTCAGCTGCTCTGGGAGCGGTGCCTGGAGCCGCCACCAGGTGGCATCTCCACTCGGTACCACTAGGGGGAGGGAGCGGAGGGAAAGGGGGACTGTCCAAGGAGACATCATACCTACAAGAAACGGAAAGCCGGGTCCCAGAGACGAAGATAGAACCTGTGGAGAGAGGTATCAAGACCCGCGAGGGAGATGTGGCAGAGACCGGGGAAGAATGATTGTAACTGGGAAATGGACACCTAGGTCCTGATAGAGAATGGTTTACCCCCTTCATTTCTAAACGACTCCTCTCCTCTCCTATGGCAGAAGTTTGAAAAGAAATTTCAGTCTGAGAAGGCAGCAGGCTCGGTGTCCAAGAGCACGCAGTTTGAGTATGCCTGGTGCTTGGTGCGAAGCAAGTACAACGATGACATCCGTAAAGGCATTGTACTGCTGGAGGGTGAGGTGCTAGGCTACCCGACTGTCCCCTTCCCAACTGCAGTCAGGGTCTGCCCTTCTTTACTGCCATTGGTCATGCCCTCCCTTCATAGGGTCAACATGGGACCCTATAATCCAGCCACCTCACAGTTATTTTACAGTAAACTCACTAACAAGGGGCTATGTACATTAGCCTAGCTTCTCCCAGTGTACTCTGGGCTAATTACTTACCACTTCATCATTGTTTTGCCCAACCGTCAGACCATGTCAGTGTCCACAGGACTCTGGTGATCTGGTAGTCTAACCATGAAGAAAGAGACTTGTCTGAAGTCCCACAGCTATTAATGGCTGAAGTAGGACTAGAAGCTCCTGTTTCATGTGTCCCGGTCCTGTGTTCTTTGTCCCCACCCCACCCCCCACCATGTTGCTTATTCAGCAGCTTTGCAGAAACAACAAAACTTTCGTGGCAGGAGAGACGTGCAGAAGACAGTCCCAAAAACCTGTGAGCAGATGATGCCTTTTTAATAGGAATTCTATTTCCCATTGTTTTGGGATGTGGTGCCATTTGTCAGGGGCCTCTATATTTGACCTTGAAATTTTGTTGAACTCTCTTTCTCTTGGTCAAGTAATTGGATATAAGCAAACAAGTCAGTGGACTAGCAAAGGATGCCTGTTGTAAATCTTTAAATATAAGAATCTTGCTTAATGCAAATAATCTCACCCTACATTTGTCTAGTTTGCCAATTCCGATTTTTCAGGTTTCCTCTAGCAGGGCACAGCTGTAGGAGTGGTGGTCTCTGAGAGTTGCCAGTCTGCTGAAGGAGACAGTACAGATAGTGGGGAAGATTTATAAATGTCCACACAACTATTTATCAAGAAATTCTAGTGCGTAGAGTACAATTGAACACATAAGTTTCCAGGAAGTCGCTGAATTATGAGTCAGGGTTATTCAGAAAAGGCTGATTTTTTTAAAAGTGGGATGGGGAATACAAACTTACTTTTTTTAAACACTTATTTAGGTAACTCACAACTGTAGTTGAAACACAATAGATGTCAAAACTGAGCAGAGATGCCTCTTGGCTTTTCCATTGTCTTGACTGCCTTTCAGTTCACTTGGACAAACCAGGGTTGACTGTAGGATTGGCACCAAGGGGTCTGGGCAGCCTGGAGTCATGCTTCCCGGAGCTCTGACTGGGAAGCCCAGAACTGCAGGCTCTGAGCAGTGACTTTCTCCCAGAGTTATATAGGGATTCAGAGAGTGGAAGGGGTCTCTGGGACACAAGTATTAGAAAAAGAAAAAGCGGTTTTTACTCTTTAATCTCTCCTCCCCAGAGCTATTGCCCAAAGGTAGCAAAGAAGAGCAGCGGGATTATGTCTTCTACCTGGCTGTGGGGAACTACCGGCTCAAGGTACGGTGGAAAGCTCCCTTCCCGTCCCATCCTGTTTGGGCGGGCCACAGCGCCTTCTTACCGTCCTCCAGGATGGAGCCTGAAGAGGGCAGTAGCAGGTAGAAGGTGGTATTGGGTACAGAGGTTCAAGGTGATAGCTGATCAGGATGCTGAGGGAAGATGAGAAAGAAGATTAGGGTGCCTAGGGTGTGGGGAAAAGGTGACGTCAGGATTGGGGTGCAGCCCCAGAGCCTTGGGTTGTTATCTCCCCTAGCTTATCATTCCCGCACAGTTGGGGTTGTTTGTGGACTCTACTCCATTGGGTGAGGCTAGGGTGAGGGAGGGGGTGGAGGTAGAGGGTGGAGCCCCCAGAGCAAGTGAAGGGAAGGCCCCTCTGATGGGCAGGAGGAGTGCTGAAATACTGAGAGGGGTGTGTGTGTGTAGGAATATGAAAAAGCCCTGAAGTATGTGCGAGGGCTGCTGCAGACAGAGCCCCAGAACAACCAGGCCAAGGAACTGGAACGGCTCATTGACAAGGCCATGAAGAAAGGTGAACATCTTCCTCTGTCTTCCTCCATTCCCACTCTCCTGTCTCCCTGGCCTCTGTCATCCCAGGTCCCTCTCAACTATTAGTTTAGTCCTCTTCCTCCCTCACCCCCACGGCATGCCTGGGCTCTCTGGTCCCTCTTTAAGTGACTCCCCCCTACCAGCAGTTCCTCTTCAAACTCCCAGGAGCCTTCTTTGTCTAGCCCTCGGAGTCCCTCACCCTGTGACTCCCAAGTGGAGAGGCACATCTGTTGCGGAGCAGTGGGCAGGAAGAAGATAGTAGCCAGGGTCCTGGTGGGCTGGGGGTCAACTCCTGACAATCTCCCTCTTCTTCTCCCCAGATGGACTGGTGGGCATGGCCATTGTTGGAGGCATGGCCCTGGGTGTGGCGGGGCTGGCTGGACTCATCGGATTTGCTGTATCCAAGTCCAAATCCTGAATGAGACGGCACCTCTGCCTCTGCCCAGGGATACGTGGGAGCCCATGGAGGACACTCAGGGAGGGCCATCCATCCTCGCTGTCCCTTTCTTCTCCTGCACCTTGTCATTGTCCTCTACTGCCTCAACCTCTGCCCCCCTGAGACCTGTCCGCTAGCCCCAAATCATGTGCTTTAGAATGAGTGTAAATAAAATTGGGCTTTGACTTGGGAACCTCTGTGTCCGTGTTGAAGGAGGGGCAGGTTCCCTCAGTCCCAGAAGCGGGGGTAACGCACAGCCCTTTCCTGCTCTGTGTTCTATTACCTCCACACTCGAGCGGGGTTCTCCTTTGTCTGCAGAGCTGCCCGGATCCTACACCCTTCCTCCCCTCCACCAAAGCCATGTGGCCTTTGCACAGCCCTAGGATCCTGGGAGAAAGCAGCGACTGGAGGAGGGAAGGGCAGAGCTGAAGGGAAAGGCTTGGATTTATGTCTCCTGTCTCCTCTGACCCACTCAGCTGACTCTTAAATATGTGGCGTTTTCCACACCATGGGGCCCCCCCACTCACTTTGCTCCAAAACCTCCACCCTTCCTCACCCTTTGTCTTCCTGCTTCCTCCTCTTCCTCCTCCGGTAGCCTCCTGAGGAGAGGGGGTGCCGCTGGTGGGTGGAAAGAAACAGGCATTTGGCATGGAGTTGGCAGGAGTCTTGGGAGAGGTTATGGACCCAGTACATGCCAGTGGTAGCCTCTAAGGTGGAAGGTGAGGACCCGGTCCCCACCCAGCCTGCTGTGCCCCACACCCTCTCTGTGCCAGGCTCAGCTTGGGCCTGTCTTGCTTCACTGCATACCTCTCATTCCACAGCCAAGCCAGCCCCACTGGGGGATTGGGGAGGAGGCCCCTGAGGGGAGCACAGAGCAGCCTGACACACGAAGGAGGGGAATGGGGTTTATACTTCAGCTCAGGGCTGTACTGTGTGGCTGCCTGGGTGGAGGGTGAGCTCCTTGGAGACTGAGTCCCAGCCACACTCACCAGAAGAGAATCAGGGCTGTCCTGCTGTGACCTTGGAGCAGGAAACAAGACCCTCTACACAAGGACAGGTGCTCAGCTTTGGCTAGGAGTGGCAGCCCAGAGGTTTCTAATCCATCATAATTAATATAGCTTAGTGACATTTCTGATAGTGAGCCACTTAGATTGGCCTCAGGATCACCTGGGTCTGAGATTTACCCCCCTGGGGGACCCTTGGCCACAAAAATCAATCTTGTTGCTGAGGGTCAGAAATCAAGCCACCAAAGGGGAAAGTACAAGTTCATTAACTTGGAAGTTTGGAAAGCAATTCCTAATGGCTTCACCCTGGGTCTCTGCTGCACCAAAACCTAGGATAGTTGCCAAGTACTGAGTAATTCATACTCTTGGGGAGCTTTGATCTCTGGTGGAAATTCTTGTTGTGTCCTATGAGGTGAGCAGTAGTGGTTTTAGTTCACAGAAGCAGAAATGAACCCACAGGGCTCAAACTTCATGCCCGTGACACTGGTAAATGATGGGGTTTGGTTTGCATCTAGGTTGGCTGGACTCCAGAGCCATTGGTTTCCTCCACAGATCCTTCTTTAAACTTAATCTTCCTGGAAGACCCAACGCCCCAAACCCCGGGTCTTAGAGTTTCCTGAATTGTTCTCACCAGTGTCTAGAGGTAGTAGCTCTGCTCCCTCGTTTCCTCCCCAGTGAAAGCCACAGTGGTGTTCCCGTGGTTGTTCCCTCTTTTTGTCCCTTTCTTTCCATGCTTTGGCCCCTGATGAAAGCCGAGTCAGAGACATGCTTCCCCTTGGCTCCCGATGCCTCTCGGAGGGGGGGGCGGGGGGGAGCCCTCCTTGGCTGCATCCGTTAGTCACTCCCTGGTGAGTCCCCCCCTCCCATGGGGCGGGGAGCCCAGGGCAGCCCGGAGGCAGTGGACTTTTGGCCCGTTTCGTTTATTCCCTACATCTCATCAACATCTGCCGCGGGCTCTCGCCTCATTCCTCTGACTGACCTGCAGGGAAGCAGAAACCTAGAAAGAGGCAAGGAAGGAAGAAACTTGGAGAAAGACCTGAGGCTGAGGAAGAGGCCAGGGCTGCAGCTGGTCTTCCACCCTTCCCCTCTCTCTTCCCACCTTAGCCAAAGCCCCTCAAGGTCCCCTGGGGCTCAGCCCTTCTCCTTCTGGGGCCCCTGGTGCCCCTCAGGGCCTGCATCCCACCATGTCAGTGGCTGTGGAGACCTTTGGCTTCTTCCTGGCAGCCGCGGGGCTGCTGATGTTGGGGGTGACTCTGCCACACAGCTACTGGCGAGTGTCCACTGTGCACGGGAATGTCATCACCACCAACACCATCTTCGAGAACCTCTGGCACAGCTGCGCAACTGACTCCATGGGAGTCTACAACTGCTGGGAATTCCCGTCCATGCTGGCCCTCTCCGGTACAAGGTGGAGGGTAAAGGGGGCAGAGGGCAGTGGGAGGTTGGAGAAAGCTCTGGCAAGTGCGGGTGCTGCCTGTGGTCTGCCCTTGGGTGCCATAGGGATAAGGAAGGCCTGATCAAGCTTAGAGACTGGTGCCTGCAGCATAGAATTCTGAGGGTAGACCCCTGTGGGAGCTACAGTGGTGACCTGGTCACACGTGGCCCCCTGCCCTCATGTGACACTGTCTCCGTGGTTACAAGTGCAGGCACCAGGGTTAGACTGCCAGGTCCAGTGCCTGCTGTGCCCTAGCTCTGTGCCCAGGGCAGGTGGTAAAACGAGCTTTATTTGACCCATCTGTAAAACAAGGACCATGATAGCACTCATTCAGAGTAGTCTTGGGGACTTCATGAAATAAAAGGTGCAAAATGTTAATATCTGTATGCACTCAAACAATTCCAGCATTTTAGGGTTGGGTTGGGAGTGTCGGAGTTTGTGGGGTGAAAAGGAGGCCCCATCTTGGAATCTTGAGAGTTGAGACACTCAGTAGCCTCACCAGTAGCTCACTGCCGTGGCGAATTCTAAAAAGGCTGTTTTACAGAGTCTGAATGTCTAATGTAAGCAGGTGAGGGGACGTGCACGTGTGTTTGGGGTTCTCAGGGAAGTGTATTTTTTCGATTCTTAGTGAGCTGGAGCCTACAGCTCTTTTGGCCCAGAAAGATTCTCCATGGTGTCTGTAGCATCTTCCTGCTTCCTGCTCGCCCTATAAGTAGCCCCCCACTGTTCCCTAGGGGAGTCTCCCTTCAGTCAGCCCCTGCCAGAGACCAAGAGGGGGTGACCAGGAACCCTCTGCAGTGCTGCTCCCTCGCCCCGACTGGGTCTTCGTGGAGCCCTCTCGCTCTTCTAGACCCCCTTCTTCAGGTGCCGCAGGTAGGGGCAGGGACAGATGCTAAACTGGGTTTAAAGCAGGGAATCCACGGAATCCCCCCAGGAATGTCCAAAACACTCTGCGCAGCTAGGGGGTCCACGTGGGTCTCTTGTGCCCCCACTATTCCCAGAATCTTCTGAGGCAGCTACAGAGGCTTCATGCCTTCATCTCCCTCTCTAGGACTTACAAGGCAAGTGGCCCACCAAAGCCCTATAAAAGCTGAATACAGACTGGGCCAGAAGCCCAGAATACTGGGTGGCCAGAAAGGACTTGGGTGACAGCCAGCTCCGCAACCCTGGCCACCCCAGCCTCACTTAGCCCCACTTGCACTGGCAGCACTTGGCCTGAGAGAGGACCCTGAGTGCACGGGAAAGGTGGGGCCGAGCGGGCTTGGGGCAGGGCAGAGCGCAGCTGCCCAGTGCTGAGGGGCATCTTGGGTCCGGTGTGGTGCTGCATACTTTACATACACCATTTTAGGGTGGTTTACAATAGTTCTGCTGTTGATGCATTAGTATGTCCATGTTACAGAACCTGGAAAACCACAGGGATAAGTGTTAACCTGCCCTGAATCACACAGGTAGTAGGAAAATTGGAGTCCTGCCTCGTGTTTCTGAGTCCAGAGCTGGCTAACTTGCAAGGCCCGGGTCTGGTCCTGAGAGGGGCAGGGCCACCTCCCAGCTGTGCACCCCCAGCCTCCAGCCATTTGGCCTGTGCTCTCACAGGTGGAGACTGTTAGATGGATGGTAGGGATAAGATACAGGGTAGGGAAAGAGGGCAGGAACTCCGGAGGGAATGGCTGGGAGTGAGAAAATGCTCCCGGAGAACTTTGGCCCTCCTCCCTGCCCCCCAGCTCCAAGCCACTAAACATCCTCTTGGCAGGGACCCAGCCTTTCCCCTTCAGTATTGATGGCACTGCCCCACCTGGGAAAATGGTGCAAGGTCCTTGGGTGCTTGGCAACTATCAAAGTCAGAGAAGGGGGAAGGGGCACCAGGAAGGGAGCCAGCCATTTCCTACAGCTTTGAGAAAGGGGAAACTGAGGCACTGAAAGCATATGTCCAAGGCTGACTTGGATTGGTCTTGGGTCCAGGTATCCCACCTCCCAGATCAGAAACTGCCCCGGACCCAGTGACCCATAGGCCACTGCTGTCCCCTACCGTTCACTCCAGGAAGCAGCTCAGGTCCAGATGTCTGGCACAGTACTAGGCACTAGGTGGGACCTGGAAAGAGGCAGATGTGGGGAAGGGGCGGGGGGTGCCCAGGTGCAGTTTCTGCAATACACAGCAGAGCTTAGTGGTGATCTCACAGAGCAGTGGTTCTCAACTAGGTCATTTTGCCCCGCAAGGGTCATTTGACAGTCAACACATTTTGATTGTCCTGCCTGGGGGGACTACTGACATCTAGTGGTGGAGGCTAAGAATGCTGCTAAATCTCCCACAATGCACAGGATTGCCCCCTAGAACCAAGGGTTATCCTGCCAGAGAGTCAATAGTGAAGAGGAGAAACCCTGTAACTGAGGTATAGGTGAAGTGCACCACTGCAGGTGACAGGGCAGGAGGGGCTGAGACTCCGTGGGACTGAGGTGAGCTCCTGAAAAGGAGGGGTATGTGACCCCTCAGCCTGCAGGCGGGATGGGCCCAAAGGGGAAGAAAAGGATTTGGGGGCTTCTAGGGACTGAGGCTCGAACAGGGGCAGTAAAGTCCTGGCTGTCATCGAGGAGAGAGAAGATGGAGGGGTTGGGTCTGGCTCAGGGACCCACGGCTTCAACCCACCTCCCCAGGGTACATCCAGGCCTGCCGGGCACTCATGATCATCGCCATCCTCCTGGGTATCCTGGGCTTCTTCTTGGGCATGGTGGGGCTGCGCTGCGCAAACATTGGGGGCGTCATGCTCTCCAGGAAGGCCAAGCTGGCAGCCACTGCAGGAGCCCTACATATACTGGCTGGTAATTGAGGGAAGGTAACGGGTGAGCCCTGCCTGTGGTGGGGGGTTGGGAGTGGCCCTAGGCAACAGACCCCAGGGCTCTGTCTTCACCAGCTCCCGCTCCTAATGTTTGCCTCACCTTCCTCTTTGCATTGACACCCACTCTCCCAGGCTAAGCTCTATCCTCCCTCCCTGATCACCTCAGCTTCACCCACACTCACCAAATCCCTTGGCTATGAATCAGTCCATTAGCAATGTTTCTTGAGCACCTGCAGGAGCCAGGCCACAGGAGAGGCGTGGGTGGGATTCCAAAGGTGAAAGTGAGGGTCTGTGCTCCCAAGCTTACAGCCCAGCCGGGAAGATCCGAGTCAGGGTGTGCGTGCACCCCCAGTGCACACAGGAACAACGCTGTCAGGCCCCCCTTTTCAGTCTGTGAAACATACCTACACACATCACTTCATAAGCCTGTGAGGCAGGGAGGGTCTCATCCTGCTCTCCAGATGTGCAGAAAGGCTCAGAAAGGTCAGGTGACTTACTGGAGGACAAGCCCACAGTGAGTGGCAAGGCTGGTCCTATACCTATAGTCCAGGGATCTCACTGGCTCCAGGCCTTCACTGAGTGGCAAAAGTGTGTCACAGGCTCTGAAGGCTTTGAGAGGCCAAAGGTCAGGGGTGTCAGAACAGACAGAGCTGGCAGGAGAAGGCTGATTAGGGCAGCTGGGCTTCTGAGGATGGATGGGGCACAGGCTGAGTGAGGAAGCTAAATGACTAAGGTACTAGAGGCCCTGGAAGGACAAGGCAGGTCAGGAGTAGAGAGGGAACATGGGCTGGCCGAGGGGCAGAGTGTGGGAGACTAGATGAGAAAGGTGGGCGGGGCTGGGTCCTTGGTGAGGGCTAGAGAGAGAAGTTTGCAGTTGACCCTGGGAAACGGAAGAGTCATGAACTGGGAAGGGGGAAGAAAGAGAGGGAATGAAATGTGCTCTTGGACTCGATGCCCCACACCTACTCTCGGCTGCTCCCGCCTGGCCCTCCCCCCGTTTCCCTAGGGGCCTAGGGTTCCAGTGCAGTTCTCTCCCTGCGCCAGGTTGCTGCGGGATGGTGGCCATCAGTTGGTACGCCTCCAACATCACCCGGGACTTCTTCAACCCCTCATACTCCGGAACCAAGTGAGTGTGGGAGCCTCAGCCTCTGGGACACTGGGTGGAACTCTGCCACATCCCTGTGCTAGCATCACCCTGCCTGGGTTTTGTCTCTAGATATGAGCTGGGCTCTGCGCTCTACCTGGGCTGGAGTGCCTCCCTGTTGGCCATACTGGGCGGTGCCTGTCTCTGCTCCAACTGCTGCAAGGCCCCCGACCAGGACCCTGCTACCAGGTAAGGGAGGGGGAGCAGCGCAGGGTGGAAGTAGGGGGGACAACAAGGGCGCCACCTCCTTCCAACACAGGACCCTCCCTCGCCAGCACCCGGCTCTCCTACAAGGCCCCTACAGTGCGGTCTGCTGCCCTTGCTGCCCACCTGCCCCCCACAGCCTCGGATGGAGACAGCGACAACAGCTTTGGCAAATACGGGAAAAACGCTTACGTGTAGAAGCCCTGGACTGTAGGTCCTATTCCCCTCCCACTGCCCCCAGTGGAAAGGGATCCTTCTAATCCAGGGCAGCAGGTGCAGACTGCTGCCTGCTGTTACCACCTCAGGGCCAATCCACACCTGGAGCTCCACCTTGGGCCTGGATGCCACACCCTGCTCAGGCCCTGCCTCCTCAGTCGGAGCTCCTCCCCGGCCATGCTTCCCTGCTCGGGCCTAAGAACCTGCCTCCTGAGGACTCACTTCAGACTCGTGAGACTGGACCCAAACCCTCTTTATCTTCTGAGTCTGGGGTCTGGGCGGCTAGGCAGGTGGGGACGACTCCAAGCGTTTGCATTCCATATAAAAACATGCATCAATTTGTATTGTGGACTGTTCAGGGGCTGAGAGTGTCATGAAGCAGTTGGTCAAGCAAGGGGTGACTGGGGAGGCACCCAGAGTCATCTCAGTTCTTGGACACGACTGTCACCTGTCCCCCTTCCATCGCCTTTGGACTGTCTGATCCAGCGAAACAGAGGCAGGGGTGCAAGTGATTTCAAGAGTGTGGCACTCTTATAATTACTGATAGGAGTCACCAAGGAGCAGACTGGGAAGACCCAGCTGGAGGAAACTGGCCAGCTTGAGATAACAAGTCATTCCTTTTACTCTCAACCTTTCTTCACAGCTGTACAAGGACACAGGTGGTCTAGAGCAGTTTCTTTGTCTGGACCTGAGAGTGGGTGTCGGAAATTGACCAGCCCTTTGAAATTGTGTCAAATCAAGGGTCCAGTGCAGGCATTTTTCTGGGGAAGGTTTGGTAACTTCCAGAAAAGACCCTGAAGGTTCATTCACAGAGGCTTGCCTGTTAGTGGCATGTGTATGACTTCGTGATGTCCAGCTCAGACACAGCGCTGGATCACGGGCAGGGATGGCACAGGGAACTCAGCAGACCTGGTACCCACTTAAGACTGTAAAATGAGGCCACAAGAAAGAAGCCTGGCATCTAGTGGAAGGAGGTAATAAGACCTTTTGCTGGTATCTTCCCCTGTGGCACTGGCTAGGGCCACTTAGGGGTGGCCTGGGTTCTGACCTCAGCCCCTTCTGCTTCCCCATTCATCCCATCTGCTCCTGGGATGTAAAGACACTCACACCCGCACTCTAACTGGGCCCACTCACTGGAGCTTCAGATGAGCACCTGCTGGGTCTTTTCACAGGCTGGGCAAATTCATTACTTCCCCCCACATCCACAGTTCCTGTCATTCCTATTACCTATCACCAGCCTCTCGGTCAACAGACTGACAACTTCAATCATCTCTGGCTTCTCTCTTCACTTCCCTTCTGCCACTTCCTCCCCTCAGTTGGTTGCCAAATCCTGTTCTCCCTCCAGTTTTCACATCCTACTTCTCTCCTTTTACTGCCTGATGCTGGGTCAGGCCTTCATCCTCCCTTGCCCAGACTCATCACAGGACTTCCCTAATTGAGCTTCTTGCCCATGTTTCTCTACTGGAGCATCATTCATTGTCCTGCCCTGGCAGCTCCCTGGTGGCTTAGGGGGAAAAGACAAGACCTTGTCATACTGCCTGGCACTGGCCCACCCTTCTGTCCCCACTGTCTACTATTCCTCTGTACAGCCTTGCTCTCCCAGCAAGCTGGACTGCTCCACTGGCCTTGGACACTTACATCAGGGCTTCCCACCAGGCTCTACCCAGAAACACTGGTATGTTTGAGCTGTTCCTGTATATGAAAGTTTCCATGGCCAAGAAGTCCAAAAAATTCTGTCTATCCTATGCCCTTCTGTTTGTGGACAGTTTGTGGATGTCCCACGGCCAAGCCAGCTCCCCAAGTCCAAAGCCCACATGGAAGGGACTGCGCAGAGCACAGACACTGGGAAGGTTCGTGGGGGCCCTCAGTGTAACAATCTACTATGGCAAGTACCGGGCTGCCTTACTGGCTTTGTTAGCAAACCAATAGTAGGCTTCTCTCTATGGTGTAACAGACATTATCGTACACCAAGCAGAACCTGCGAGACACAGAGCTTAAAAAGGGTCTTACAATTCCAAAAGGCTCCAAAAGCACAAGGATGCCACCTGTGCACCCCGCAGTGAAGGACAGAAGCCAGTTACGACTCCTGATGCTGCCACCCAGGCTCCTCCAACCCAGACTCTCCCCCTGCCCCACCCACGGCTTCTACCTCCTTTCCCCAACTCCACCCTGCCTCTTCTCATCTCCTCCCCTTTTCAGGAAAACTAACTTTAACCAGGTCTCACATTTGAGCATTTAAATATGTGGCTTAGAGCGGTCAACAGAGTAATTATTGATTTCTTTGTCCATTAGTCATGGTCACATGGTTCTAAAGGGCTATTGACACACCCCTCATAGCACATTCTTCTTTTCTAGAAGGTAGAGCACTGAGACATGACCCCTGCTTTCAAAAAATCACAAGCTGAAAGCAGAAAGAAATGTCAACAGCTAGTTACCATACAATGAGCAAGACGCTGAGGCTATTCCAAGGAACCCTCCAGTTTTTGAGGGAACTCGTGAAAAAGCCCCACAATGAACTGGTTTAGGTCTTGGGCAATGAGGTCAACAGCTGTCGTTCACTGAGTGAGTACTTTCCAGACACGGGCAGGTGCACTGCCTCATCTAACCCTCACAGTATCTGGCGGGTGAGAGGCACAGAATGAGAGGCACAGTGACCTATCCAAGCTACACAGTTAGCGAGTAGTAAGACCAAGATTTGTCAAAAACTGAAGACACAATTGGCCTGCTGCCCAGAATTCCTGGCTCTCCAAATTAATTCACATCAATTCAATTCAGTGCTCATGGAGGTCTTTAGCTGTGAGCCCTGCAAGTCTCTAGCCTCCCAGACCCTACCATTCACCTCTTCTGGTGCTCCATCACACAATATTGGCTCTAGCCTCTAGAAGCTTTTGGTATAGTGTAGGTTTCCCAAAGGCCCGGGTGTCTCCCAAAGTCTCCACTAGTATCCAGGAAGCTGGCAAAACTAGTTCAAGGCTTTTCTTGAGGAGCTATGGTTCTAAATGGGGGTCTGGAGATCCTTCCTAGAGAGTGTGAATGGGTGATTTATGGAGACAATCAGCATCAGAGCAAGGGAAGGCCCCTGGGGTCTGGTTCAGTCTTATTAAGGTTGGTTGGGGAAGACTGTGTCATTGAATAGACAAATCTTACCCCAAGCAGAGCCTGTGTGGTTCTTCATAACAACAAAGTGTGTCTGCTCCATGCTACTGAGGACACGGCTAGGAACTCAAATGGCTGAGGCTGATGTTGGTGCCTTAGGGCCAAGATCATCACATCTTCACTCCCATGATAGGAGTCTGGACTGGGATGGCTTAGAAGCCTGGCCAACTGCACCTATATCCGGGAGCACCTGCCCGTGGCCTCTCCCTGTGGCCTGGGCTTCCTCACAGCACGGATTTTTTACATGGCAGCTAGGGGCTCCAAAAGCAAGTGTCCCAGGGACAAGGCAGGAGCTGCACTGCCTTTGATCACCTAGCCTTGAATGTCTCATGGTTTCACTTCTGCCACTCAACTGGTTGAAGCAGTCCTAAACTAAACCTACCTGCATCCTGGAGAAAGGGGACAAAGACCTCGCCTTTAATGGAAGAATAGTCAAAAAATGTACAGCCATCTTTTAAGATTTCATTTATTTTTAGAGAGAGGGGAAGGGAGGGAAATATCAATGTGTGTTTGTCTCTTGCACGCCCACTACTGGGGACCTAGACTCCAACCCAAGCATGTGCCCTGACTGGGAATCGAACCAGCGACCCTTTAGTTTGCAGGCCAGCTCTCAATCCACCGAGCCACACTAGCTAGAGCCTTCAGCCATCTTTTAAAACCACCACACTTGAGACTGTCTGTAAGCCCCGTTCTCACCACCACTCAACACAAAGCTGTCACCAACGCCACTTTCCCAACTGTAAGTCTCCAGAGAAAGAGCAAGCAGTTCTTCAGGAAGACACCAGAACATTTGGGCCAGCCCCAAGAAAGTCCCCCCAAATGGGGAGGAGAAAGACATGACCAATCACCCTCATCCCCAAAACACCGTATGACCAGAAGGCAGGTGTCTCCCGACACGAGACAGTGGACAGTACCCTGAGGGCTGGCCCGCTTTCCTGCCACATGCCTGGGGGTAAGACTGGTCTTCCCTGGGGGATAAGACATGAGGTTTGTTGGGTGAGTGAACAGTTCTTCTCTTGGTCCAGGGGAGCACCTTTCCTTTTGATGTCCTCTCCAAGGCCAGGGTGATGATGCACGGAGGGCCTTCCTCTCCAGGGATATCCATGGTCACACGGTCCACTTCAAGCACCTGAAGGCAGAGGAAACCCAGGATGAGGAGAGGGTCTGGGAGGCTGTGGGGTACAGGAGGAAGACGGCGTGGACCCAGGGGACATTCCCAGCTCACCTGGTCTCCTGGTGAGTGCCCAGACAGCGCACGGTGCAGTACCGGGCGCCACAGCTGACACAGGTGTACGGAGAGGGGAAGCCGCATACAGCACAGAAGGGGCGCTGGGGCCGGGATGGGGGTCCCGCACAAGCTGTCAGGTAGTTGGGGCCCTCGGCCACACTCAGGTTCTGCAGATACAAGGGGACAGGCTCCGCAACTTCTCTACCCACCCACATAGCAAACACTTGCTAGGGACAAGCATCGCTCTGGGCGCAGCCCTTCCCTGGAGGTTCCTCCCTGCCAGCCCCTTTCTCACCTGCTCCTCCAACAATGCCTGGAAATTTTTCCGGAAGCGAAGTTTAAAATGATCACCTCGAGTTTTCTTCTTTTTCTTTCCTAGAGATCAAGAGCAATGAGTTACTTGGCACCTTCCAAAAAAGACACCATCTTTCTCTGCCCCATCATTCACAATGCCCTCATGTCCATTCCCTGCCCACTACTCACCTGGGCTCTAGGTAGGTCTCTACTATCCTTTTTCCTTCCCCCAACATCTCTAACCCCCACCTTCCTTCCTCTCTACACTCCCCAAATCTGACTTTATATCAGAGCTGGAAGGGATTTTAGAGCGCATCTGCTCCACCTTCTTTATTCTACATACACAAAAAGACAATGAGGCATAGAATGGGGAGAGCAACTAGCTCAGAATCACAGGAGCCAGCCCCTGGCAGAGCCAGAGGAGCCCCTGGGTCATCTTCCCCTCAGTCTGCTGTCCTTCCACAACCCTAACCTAGGCAAACGCTTTCCCCTTCCTTCAGCCTTGTCTCCCCAGCCCCACCCGCCTCACCAGTGTCTGCATCATCATCAAATTGAGGCAGTCTTTTGCCAAGCTGGGGGAGTCCGGCGTGGGGATCATCCTGGAAGTTGTCATTCTCCAAGGCCTCAAGCTGCCTGTTGATGCGGCGCTGCCGGGCAGCCCTGTCCAGGACCCGCCGCTGTCCAGGGTCCTGGGAGCGAACTAGGTGGGGCAGAGCCAGAAGAGTTATGGGGGGCATAGAGAAGACAGACGTTAAGGTGACCGTGGCTCTGGGCATGTGTGGATGATGTCCGTGGGGTATGGAGCCACAGTTCTCTGATCTCATCCTGGTCACCAAGCCCCTATATCTTCTACCAGTACAGTAGTTCCCTGCTATCTGCAGTCTTACTTACCAAAGTTTCGGTTACCTGCAGTCAACAGTGATCTGAAAACATTATATGGATATTGAAATAAAAATTTTGTAAGTTTTAAATTGTGCACTGTTCTGAGTAGGTGTGGGTATAAGAAGCTCTAGTACCACACAGGAATCACAGCTTCCAGGGCCACTCAGAACAGGAGCCTGTGATGAAATCTCAGGCCAACCCACTCCACCCTGCCCACCCGAGATGCGAATCACCCTCTGTCCAAGTATCCAGGCTGTACACACTACCTGTCTGTTAACCACCAGGTAGCTATCTCAGTTAACGAGATCAGCTGCCATGGTGTCACAGTTCTTGTGTTCAAGTAATCCTTATTTTACTTAATAATGAGTTCAAAAAACAAGAGTATTCATGCCAAAGAGAAGCCATAAAATACAGGTGTGTACAGGGAAAAAAACAATACGCACAGGGTCCAGTACTATCTGTAATTTCAAGCACTACTGGGAGCCTTAGAACTTTTTCGATGTGGGTAAGAGGGGACTGTGTATCAGCCCCTCTGGTTTGCTTCCTTCCTCGTGAAGATTGCTATTTTAGTCACTCAGCCCTGTTTTCTACCTCTTTGACCCCAGCCTTTCCTCCTGATCCCAAACCTGACCAATGAAATGCCTCCTGGAGACTTCTCACTGCAGGCAGAAATCACAGAACCACGCTGATGAGACCAGTGTACACTCAAGGCTTACAGGCTCCACTGAGACCTTAATGCACCTGGCCTTCATGCTCAGCAATCTCCTTTCCTACCTCAAAGGGAACAGGCCACTGACACAGACACCTGTCTTATAGCCCACCCTCAATCACAACTACATGGACACCCCTACACACACCAAATCCCACTGCTAACCCCAACCTTTCACCTCCAACTGAGTCCTCCCCTCCCTCTCGCATCTTTAATCTCTCCTCTTCAACGGATACTTTTCCTTCCAGGAAAAATCTACTAAACTCTCTGCCTACTCAACTTCATACCTACTCTTCTTTGACAGAGTGGCCCACATGATGTTTCATTTCCTTATCTCCTGTCCATCTCTCAACACCCAGTAAACGGGCTGATTTTTTATGGTAACCACTCACACTCAGAATGCTGGTGACCTCCTTGAGCCAGAACCAGAGTGCATTTTACTTGAATTCTCTACACTCTGAGACTGTGTTGACCATCTCACTCAGGTTGAAAGAGTCTCTTTGGCTGCTTCTTTGACATGAACTCCAGGTGTTCCTTCCCCATCTCTGGCTATGGTTCTGTTTCTAACCTTGCTTCTCTCCCTGCCTCCAAGGAGATGGCTATCCCTGTTCTCTTTCTCAGTCTATAAACTCTTCCTGAGATTTCTAATACAAATACAGGGCTCTCTCACCCACAAGCAAATGACTCCAAAAGTTTCTCCATCCAGAACCTTCTCTTGAGTTCCAAAACTGACTTTACAACTGGCTGCAGGAAATTTCCTGCTGACCCGATTGACACTGCAAGTCAGAATTAAAAATCTTGCCACTCAACCCTGGCTGGTGCAGCTCAGTGGATTGAGTGTGGGCCTGTGAAGCAAAGGGTCGCTGGCTCGAGTCCCAGTCGGGGTGCATGCCTGGGCGGGAGAGGCGACCACATATTGGTGTTTCTGTCCCACTCTTCCTCCTTCCCTTCCCCTCTCTCTAAAAATAAATCAATAAAATATTTTTTAAAAAATCTTGCCACTCAAGTCTGATTCTCCTCCTGCAGACTTTCTTTAAATAAATGGAACCATCTACATAAACATCCAAACCAGAAAAACTAGGATATTTTAAACTTCTTTCTTCATTACCATATCAACTGTTCACCAGCTTCTGATAATTCTACACAAAATATCTCTTCATTCATTAAACAAATATCTATTGCGTGCCTGTAACCATAATAATAACATTAGTGCCAGTTGCTAACCCTTACTGGGCATGTACTATGAGTCAGGCACTACACTCAGCTCTACATAAATGGAACCCTTTAGCCCTTACAACCACCCTGTGAAACAGGTTTCATTATCATCCCCAGCTTACTGGAGTTTGCAGCTAGTAAATGGCTGGGTCAGAATTCAACCTTGAACTGCCAAGCATCAAAAAACATGTTCTTGAGAGCTTCCAGTCGAGAAAGAAGTAGAAGTAAACATGGCTTTCCTCTTTGCACAACCAACATCAAAATTACAACTAAACTACAGAACAACCATCACTCAGAACCGTCAAAAATCAAGTTGAATGGAAGTCCGACAACCATGGAACTAAAGAAACCACATCCGTCTGGACTCGTGGGAGACACAGATACATAGAGTGGGCTGGCCCACATCCACATGTGGAGGATAAAAATTCGGGAGGGATATATCTGGAGCAAGGGGCTCCAGCCCCACACCAGGGCCCCCAGCCCAGGGCTGCAGTGCCAGGAAGATAAACCCCCGTACCTTCCGGCTGTAAAAACCAGTGAGGTTTGATTCAGTGAAAGGAACTGCTTAGTCCCAAGCAGCTCCTCTTAAAGAGTCTGCACACAGACTTACTCAGATTCACCCTGTCTGAGCTTCAGTGCCAGGGTGGCAGCTTGGGGGGCACCAGTGGCATGCAGGGTGCCACTGCACTGTCTGGCATCAGAGTGACAGATGGAGAACAGCTTTCTCCCAGACGGAAGGGCGGGCGGGGCCATTGTCCCTTTTCTGAGCCTTCTCCACATGGAGCCACAGAGCTGGCATGGAGGGGCCATATCAGGGACTCCATCATCCTGGCTGGCACAGATTGCTCCACCCTGGGGAATCCCTAAAGCTCCACCCCATCCAGGCTGTTAACAGTGGCTTTTCCATATGAATGTCTGGTCTTGGTTCAGGCTTCACATCTTCCTAAATCCTCTCAAACAACCAATAGCAGGACTCAGGGAGCCCTCAGCCCCCATACTTCTGGCAAAGCAGCACCAGGCCCAGCACTAGCAGCAGCCAGCTTGGATCAGTTTTGCTTCGCCTGGATCTCCAAGCCCAGCACAAGTCGAAGCCACCTGCAGATTGCTTTGTAGCTCATCTGCTCCAGGTGGAACACTGGTGGAGGCTGACCCTGGCCTGCATCACCTGGGAAACATCAGAGCACACTTATCCAGTAAACAGCTACAGACCATGTCAGAATACCACCACCCAGCCCCTGCACAGCTGATCCTCCACAAAGGGCTGAGGTTGGTAGTCAGTGGTCAGAGCCGGTCCACTGGCCTGCTGATTGGCAGCTGACTGGCCTGGGTAAATCCCTCCCACTGACCTGCCGACAGCCATCAAAGCTCAACTACAAGAGCAGAGTGTACTCAGCCCGCACAGAGGGCACACCTTGAGTACCCAGCTTGGGTGATGGGGAGGATATGCCACTGGGCCCTTCAGGACACCTACATTAGGCCATGCTACCAAGACAGAGCGCCATAGCAGCTAATATAGAAATATAGAAATAAATACAGGGAAGCTGCCAAAATGAGGAGATAAAAAAACATGGCCCCAATGAAAGAACAGATCAAAACTCCAGAAAAAGACTAAACAAAATGGACATGAGCAATTTATCAGATGCACAATTCAAAACATTGGTTATAAGGATGCTCGAGGGACTTAGTGAGTATCTATCTCAACAGCATAAAAAAGATCCAGGCAGAAATGAAGGATATAAAAGCAGAAATGATATAAATAAAAAACAACTGACAGGGAATCAACAGTCAAATGGATGAAACCAAGAATCAAAGCAATGATTTGGAACATAAGACACAAAAAAACAACCAATCAGAACGAGAAAAAAAGAACAACAAAAAAGGAGGATAGTATAAGGAGACTTGGAGTCTACGGCAACTTCAAGTGGTCCAACATTCACAGCATAGGGGTGCCAGAAGAAGAAGAGAAATAAATTGGAAATCTATTTGAAAAAATGAAAGAAAACTTTCCTAATTTAGTGAAGAGATTTAGCACAGAGATTCCCAAACAAGATGGATGCAAAAATTAAAATGCCTAAGGATAAAGATAAAGAGAGAATGCTTCAAAGCAGCAAGAAAAAAGCAGGTAATTACTGACAGGGGAATTCCCATAAGACTGTCAACTAATTTCTCAAAAGAAACTTTGTGGGCTAGAAGGGACTGGCAAGAAATATTCCAAGTCATGAAAAGCAGGTACCTACAGTGAAGACTGCTCCTGCCTGCAAAGTTATCATTTAGAATCCAAGGGCAGATAAAGTGCTTCCCGGACAAGAAAAAACTAAAGGAATTCATCATCACCAAGCCATTATTACATAAAAAGTTACAGGGACTTATTTAAAAAAAGATAAAAACTATGAACAATAAAATGGCAATAAATATGTATCTATCAACAATTTGAATCTAAAAACCAAACTAAGTAAACAAGAAGAACAGAGACAGAATCATGGATACAGGGAACATTCTGATGGTTGTCAGGTGGGAGGGGAATGTGGGGAAATGGGTGAGGAGGTGAGGAGATTAAGAAGTACAAATTGGTAATCACAAAATAGCCACAGGAATATAAAGTACAGTACAGGAAATGGAGTAGCTAAAGAAATTATATGCACGACCCATGGACAAAGGGGTGGGGATTGCGTGAGGGAGTGGGAGGTACTAGGGTGGGGGCAAAGGGGGAAAACTGGGACAACTGTATCAGCATAATCAATAAAATATAATTTAAAAGAAAAAAATCATGGTCTTGATCACTACATTATACTGCCTCCCTTCCAACTGCCAGGTTGTATGCTAGGCTCTTGGAATACAACCCAAGCCTACAGGCTATTGGGGAATAAAAATGATCAAACAAGAATGTAAAGCACAGCATATGATAATATAGGGAAGTACAAAGTGCTACAGAGCACATGACAGAAACAACTAACCTGGACTTGGGGTAGTCAGAAAGACGTTCCAGAGGAAAGTAAGTCCAAGTTGAGGCCGGACTGAGTAATAGAAGAAACCTGGTCGGAGGTAAGGAGAGGGTGGCTCAGACCTTGGTACCAGCATGAGAGGAGGCTTGGATGGGAGACTTAAGTGCCTTCAATAAATTAAAATAAGTTCTGTATGGCTGGTATATAAAGTATGTGTGTATGGGGGATGGGGGATGAAGTCGGGCAGATCATTCAAAATTATTTCTTTTAAGTATCTATAGGAATTTAGATTTGGAGATTTTATGGTGAAGGTGATAGAAATCCAGTGATGGGTTTTAAGAAAGGAGTGACATGACTGGAATTATTACGAGTCAATCCAGAGGTGTTCCAGTCCTCATCCTTTTTTTATATGGACTATTCAATAGCTTTCTAACTGGCCTTCCAGGCTCTAGACCTGCACTATATAATAAAGTAACCACTAGTCACATGTGGTTATTTAAATTTAGATATAGACTTCTGGTCAAGATGGAGGCATAGGTAAACATGCCTCCCCTTCCTCACACAACTATAGCAAAAACTACTACTGGTCTACAAAACAAATATCACCCAGAATTGTCAGAAAACTGAGTTGTGTGGAAGTCTGACAACCAAGGATTTAAAGAAGCCACATTCATCCAGATGGGTATGAAGAGGGGAGATAGGGACATGGCAGACAGGCTCAGAGACATGGAGAAGAGTGGAGAGGGCAACCAGTGGTCCCACATCCACACGTGGTAGACAGAAATTGGGAGTGATACCTTGGGAGCGAGGGATCCCAGCCCCAGACCAGACTACCCAACCAGGGTTCCAGTGCCAGGGAGATAAGGCCCCATAACTTCTGGCTATAAAAACCAGTGGGGGCTGGTGCACCAGAAGAAGCTGCAGGTTCTCAAGAGACTCCGCTTAAAGGGTCCACAATGGATGTAGGACTCACTCAGACTCATCCCCTCTGTGATTCAGCACCAAGGTAAGAGTTTGAAGGGCACCGGTGGCATACAGGGAGAGGGTGAAGTAACTGGCAACAGAGCTAGTACCAGGAGACAGCTTCCTCCCAGACAAAACTTGAGAGACCAGGCAGCAGCACTGTCTCCTCTCCAAGCTCACGCCCACACAGAGCAACAGAGCTGTGACATGGGTTGCTCTGCCCCAAACAACTTAACAGGTACACTTTTCTACAACAGGCCACACTACTAAAACAGGGAGTCAAAGCAACTCTACCTAATACACAGAAACAAACACAGGGAGGCTGCCAAAATAGGGAGATCAAGAAATATGGCCCAAATGAAAGAACAGAACAAAACTCCAGAAAAATAACTAAATGAAAAGGAGATAAGCAATCTATCAGATGCAGAGTTCAAAACACTGGTTATCAGGATGCTTCAGGAACTTACTGGGTACTTCACCAGCATAAAAAGACCCAGGCAGAAAGGAGTGCTGCATTAAGTGAAATAAAATCTACAGGGAACCAACAGTGGGGGGGATGAAGCCTAGAATCAAATCAACGATTTGGAATATAAGGAAGGAAAAAGTATTCAATCAGAACAGCAGAAAGAAAAAATTAATAAAAACAAGGACAGATTTAGGAAACTCTGGGACATCTTTAAACATACCAACATCCAATTCCTAGGGATGCCAGAAAGAGAAACAGAAGAACAAGAAATTGAAAACTTATATGAAAAAATAATGAAAGAAAATTTTCCTAATTTGGTGAAGGAAATAGACATACAAGTCCAGGAAACACAGAGTCCCAAAGAAGATGGACACAAAGAGGACCACGCCAAGACACATCACAAAGGTTAAAGATAAGAGAGAACCTTAAAAGCAGCCAGAGAAAAGCAAATGGTTACCTACAAAGGAGTTCCCATAACACTATTAGCTGATTTCTCAAAAGAAACTTTGCAGGCCAGAAGAGACTGGCAAGAATTATTCAAAGTGATGAAAAAGCAAAGATCTACAACCTAGATTATTCTATCTAGCAAAGAGACATTCAGAATTGAAAGGCAGATAAAGCACTTCCTAGACAAGGTAAAACTAAAGGAGTTCATCATCACCAAGCCATTATTATATGAAACACTAACAGGAATTATATAAGAAAAAAATCAAAACGATGAACATTAAAATGGCAATAAATTCACAACTATAATAACTAAATCCAAATAACAAACTAAGCAAACAAGCAGAACAGGAACAGAATCATAGATACAGAGATCATCTGGACGATTATCAGTTGGGAGGGGAAAGGGGGAAAATGGGGGGGAAGTACAGGGATTAAGAAGCACAAAACAGTAGATACAAAACAGACAGGCAGATGTTAAGAACAGTATAGTTAATGAACTTACAAAGAACTTACATGCATGACCCATGGACATGAATTAAGGGGGGATTGCTGGGGGGTATGGGGGTACCAGGTGGAGTAGGGCAAAGGGGGAAAAATTGGGACAACTGTAGAAGCGTAATCAATAAAATAGATTTAAAAAATAAAAACATAAACTTAGATGTAGATTAAGAATAAATAAAATTTAGCCCTGGCTGGTGTAGCTCAGTGGATTGAGCACAGTTCTGCGAACCAGAGGATCGCAGTTCAATTCCCAGTCAGGGCACAAGCCTGGGTTGCAAGCCAGTTCCCTGCAGGCCAGCAGCTCCCAGCAGGGGGCGCACTAGAGGCGCCCTACATTGATGTTTCCCTCTCCCCTTCCTCTCTAAAGATAAATAAATAAATAAATAAATAAATAAATAAATAAATAAATATTAAAAAATAAAATAAAATACTGTCAGAAAGTAACATTTTAATTATTTTAAAAAAGAATAAATAAAATTTAAAATTCAGTTCCACGATTGCACTAGCCATATTACAAGTGTTCAATAGCCACTGTAGCTAAGGGCTGCCATGAAGAACATTCCCGTCATCCCAGAAGTTCTACCAGACGGCGCTGCTCTAGACCCTCCAATTCATCCTCTTCACTGAAGCTAGAACTGCCTTTCTAAAAGATAAATTTCTTTAGGTCATTCCTCTGGCTTAAAAGCCCTTGATGGGTCTCCACTGCTCTCAAAATTCAAATTTTCCCGCAGATCATATAATGCATTTCAAGAGTGTCTTTCCCTAGCCCCCCAGCCTCTCTTATAATTCCTCCGTAAGTCTGGAACTGTGAACTTGGCTTCCTAAGCGACTTCCTTTTTCTTGCTTTCATGCCTTTTTAAGTGTAGTTCCCGCTGCCGGGAATGAGTCCCCGCGCATCCGCACAGAGCGAAACCTAGCTCGACTTGTCAAGACTTCAGTTATTTTCCCCTGCAAGCCTTCACTCACTGCCCCCTACTTTCTAGGGGCCCAAGCGCTGTGCATCCCTCTGCCATAGCGCGTATGAAACACAATGGTAGGTCTGCATGTCTGTCCCCCATCCAAACAACCACTTCCAGGAAAATAAATATCTTTTTGCTTTTTCCATTCTCAGCGCCGGCTTTGAGCAGGCATAAATAAAACGTAAATGGATGGTTTGGGAGCTGCCCGGATGCCAGGACTTGAGGGCCGGGAAAGGAATTTGAGACTAATAATTGGGTGAGAAAATCTTAGGCCAGGTTAGGATTTGAGAGGAGGCAAAGAGCCAACTCCAGAGGGGTTCACATACCCGAAGTTTTCTTCTCCACCATTTCCACAACACAGCGGAGGAAGAACCTACCGCGCACGCACGCTAAACCAGCCGCTTTGGTAGGGGCCCGGTAACTTCCGGTGGCGTGTGCTTCTGCGCGTGCGCAAAATAATTCCAAAGCTTAATTACGTGTTGTTCCCTTGGAGACGAGCAAGCTTTCTGCCATAGTTTATAGGGGCAAATGTACTTCCGGCCTCAGTGCAGTTTTGTATTTCCTGGGATCCCTGAAATGGGTCATTTTAAAGATGTGGTGCCAGTGGCCTTTCGAGAAACGTCCTTTTCCTTTGGTCCTTCTTTGATGCTATTATCAGAAAGGCATCCCCTGAAGCTTCTCTCTAGAAATGACAGGGGTGGCTCCCAAAGATTGTGGGAAAGGCTTGAGTGGGCAATCCGAGAGGTCGCTGATGACGCTCTGCAGATATTTCAACCCCTAGTTCCCCTGGAGCTTCAGACTCTTCGGCATTCTCCCTCTCTTCCGCTCGCCCCTCCTCCATTGGTTCCCGCTCCGCGCGCCCTCTCAGCCTAGCTCAGTCGTCTGCCCCCGGACTAGGCAGGGCTGTGGCAAAGGCCCGCCTCCGCGTCTCGTCGGACCCGCAAGTGGTCACTTCCCCTCTCGGGGTTTCAGTTTCCTCAAGTGTCTAGTGAGCGGTGGGCTGGGTTGTCTCTGACCAAAGTCCTCAGCTCCTGCTCACCCGCCCGAGCCCCCGCCCCTCTTTCCGCCTCGCGGCCCAGCGGCCTCTCCGCCGGCACCGCGCAGTCCGCGCGCCGGCGTCCAGAGACAATCCTTGCCCTGTCTGGGGCGCCGGCATCTAGAGTTTTCTGTAGCCTCCGGCTACGCCTTTTTTCCAGGGCGGAGCCCCGGCCCTGCTCCTCCTGGGTCTCACTGCAGCCCCAGATCACCTTTCCTGAGGCTCCCCGCTCGGTAGTTGGGATCCAGGCACGCAGCGGGATCCTGGTGCCGGCCTGTGTGCGGTCTCGGCCAGGTTCCCGCGATGGCCTCCTGGGGCCTGGGACTCCGGCTCCTGCTGCTGTTTCTGCTACTGCTGCTGCTACCGCCACCTCCTGAGGCTGCGGCCTCGGCCTCGGACCGTCCCCGGGGTGGCCACCCAGTCAACCCAGGTGAAACCCCCAGGGAGTGCCGGGTGAGCTCCGGTCTAACGTGTCTTCTGGCTGGGGCTTAGGGGAAGTTGGGGCGGCGGGGGACAGTCTCTCCCCTGCCCAGCGTGCTCCTTGGGACGGAACTACTCGCTCCTCACCCTGAACTGTTTTCATCCTCCCCCTTTTAATTGACCCCGAATCCTGGGTGTCACTCCCATAGTTCTCACTGGGGTCGAAGTTGCTCAGGGGAAAGATTTTAAGAGGGAATGGGAAAAAAGAAGCAAGGGACTTTAGCAGAGTTTGAGGGAGGGGGAGGGGGGTCTGAGGTGAGTGGAGCACGTGGGGCAGTGAGCTGGATGAGTGGGTCCCGACTGCCAATTCTCAACTGGTGACAGAGAAGTTGCTAGTGATCACCGTGGCCACAGCCGAGAACGAGGGGTACCGGCGTTTCCTACAATCAGCGGAATTCTTCAACTACACAGTGCGGGTGAGAGGAATGCCTTTGCGGCGCTAGGAGGTTGGGATGGGTGGCTTCCAGCTGGAGGAGTGGGCAGAGGGCTGGATGCCTGGGGCCCTACGGTGAGCCTGGGCAGCTGAATCCTTCCCTGGCATGGTGGATCTCCCCCACAGACCCTGGGCCTGGGAGAGGAGTGGCGAGGGGGTGATGTGGCCCGAACCGTTGGTGGAGGGCAGAAGGTCAGGTGGCTAAAGAAGGAAATGGAGAAATATGCAGACCAGGAGGATATGGTCATCATGTTTGTGGACAGGTAAAGAGGCTGGAGATGGGGAGAAATGGGTGGGGCAAACAAGAGGAAGGAGGTGAGGATACTGAGGGTCTTAGCGGCTGTCTGTTCATCCTGCCCTTCCTTGCCAGCTATGATGTGATTTTGGCTGGCAGCCCCTCAGAGCTGCTGAAGAAGTTCCTTCAGAGTGGCAGCCGCCTGCTGTTCTCTGCGGAGAGCTTCTGCTGGCCTGAGTGGGGGCTGGCAGAGCAGTACCCTGAGGTGGGCACAGGGAAGCGCTTCCTCAACTCTGGTGGTGAGTGGCAGAGTGCCTGAAGCAGAGGGGCTAAGAGTGTGGGGTCTGGAGTGTTCCAGGTGCCTAGGAGCCAGAGAGGGAGTGAGGACAGATTTATGGGACCATGGGAGTCTTTGAATCAGCACCTCCCTGCTCCCACAGGATTCATTGGCTTCGCTCCTACCATCCACCAAATTGTCCGCCAGTGGAAATACAAGGACGATGATGATGATCAGCTGTTCTATACTCGACTCTACCTGGACCCAGGACTGCGGGTAGGGACAGACAGAGGAGGGGTGACCACTTGCAGCCCTGTGGGCATGGCAGACCCCAGGCTGAATGGGAGAGAAGGGGTAAAGGGGTTCGGAGGAAGATGTAAAGAGAAAAGAGTGAGACATGATGTCTCACCCCTTCTTGAATTAACTGCCCCATCTCATTCCACCCAGGAGAAACTCAGCCTTAATCTGGATCATAAATCACGGATCTTTCAGAACCTCAATGGGGCGTTAGGTGAGCAAAAAGGCAATCAGAACGGGAAATAGAGAGGCTGCTGGGGTCCAGAATTAGGGAGGAGCTCCTGGTGGAACTGGGGTGGTCCTCCACTCACCTTTATGTTAACTTTATTAAACATCGGAATGGCTGGTAGGTAAAGTTGCACAGTGCTAACAGTAGTAAAAGCAGTGGCCATGATACTAACACCTATGAAAATACTATGTGTCAGGGCCCTGGGCCAGGGGGCTTTACTTCTGTAATTTCATTAACACAGCAATCTGACAAAGGAGGCCTGGGGTCTGTGGTTATCTACCTCTTACAGATGAGAAAACTGCCTCTCTGAGGGGCTAGTGGCTTGCCCAGGTCACACCAGTAGTAAGTGGAGGGGGTCACCAGGAGGTTATCAGAGAAGCTAGATTCCCTCCTATTTAGAAGCATCTGCTGCTCGGCAACTTCAAGAGTGAGGGAGTCTAAATCCTGACCTTTCTTCCCCAGATGAGGTGGTTTTAAAGTTTGATCGGAATCGTGTACGAATACGGAATGTGGCCTATGACACGCTTCCTGTTGTGGTGCATGGGAATGGTCCCACCAAGGTGCCCCAGTGACTCACACCCTCAGCCCCATACCTGGTCCCTGCCCCTTACCCTGTCCCAGGCTTGGTCCCACAACCTCTGTCCCTGACCCAGACCTCATCCTAGCCCCAAGGTACCTCCAACCCTTCTGAGCACTTGGTCCTCCCCAGCCCCAGCCACAGAGGTGCTATGGGAGTTCTAAGTGTCCGCTGCTCCCTCACTTCCTTGTTCCTGTTTGCCTACCTGGTCTACCTCATGTTCCGTCCTGGACTCCTCAGTCTCAGCCTCTCTTTCTGTCTCTCCCAACAGCTCCAGCTGAATTACCTGGGAAACTATGTCCCCAATGGCTGGACTCCTGGGGGAGGCTGTGGCTTCTGTGACCAGAATCAGAGGACACTCCCGGGGGGGCAGGTGAGGAGCGGTAGGGCAGGAGAACACATTGAAGCAGGGGATGCAGGGAGAGCGTACTGGATAGCAGTGGGGGGCTGAGCTCCGGAATCCCCAAACCTGGCCACGTGGGTGGAAGAAGTCAGACCAGGTAGGGGTTCTGGACTTTCCTCTGAGCCCTGTCATGTGTCTTCCAGCCTCCCCCCCGGGTGCTTCTGGCTGTGTTTGTAGAACAACCTACCCCATTCCTGCCCCGCTTCCTGCAACGGCTGATGCTCCTGGACTATCCCCCGGACAGGATCACCCTTTTCCTGCATAACAACGTAAGACACCCTGGCAGCCTCCCCATATGGCCTTCCCGAGGTACCTGCCCAGACGGACTCCTGCTCCCCCCACTCCAGATTGCTTCCTACACCCTGTTCACTCGCCTCCTCTCCTCTCCATCGCACCCCTTAGGTGCCACCTTTTCTGCCATCTCAGCACCCTCTCCCATTTCCTCCCATCTCCAGGAGGTATACCACGAGCCCCACATTGCAGACTCCTGGCCTCAGCTCCAGGACCACTTCTCAGCAGTGAAGCTGGTGGGGCCAGAAGAGGCCCTGACTCCAGGCGAGGCCAGGGACATGGCCATGTGAGTGAAACCTGGACAGGGAGGACTGGTAGGGGAGAAAGGGGTGGGAGGGGGTGAGGCTGCCACCTGCTGCACCACCCTTCCCTCGCCATCCACCCTCCAGCTTTTCCACGGCCCCCACAGTGCTGCCCGCCCAGCATTCTGCCCCTCCCTTGCCCTTCTTCCACAGACTAGATAACCTGGGGGTTCCAGAGTGGGGGAGTTTCTCCCCCTCTGCAGTCCCCTCCCTCCCCCACCTGCTTCAATTTCAGTTCCTTTGTCTGTTGGTCTGTGCCCACCAGGGATAGCTGTCGGCAGGACCCCAAGTGTGAATTCTACTTCAGCCTAGATGCTGATGCCGTCATTACCAACCAGCAGACCCTGCGCATCCTCATTGAAGAGAACAGGTTACTTTCCTGGCTTAGCCAAAGGGCCTCCAAGTAGTCCCCCAGAAGCCCCCTGCTCCTTCCCTGGGCATGGGGCTCTCCTCTGCCCACTCCTCACCTCCCCCTGTTCATAGGAAGGTCATAGCACCCATGCTGTCCCGCCACGGGAAGCTGTGGTCCAACTTCTGGGGAGCCCTGAGCGCTGATGAGTACTACGCTCGCTCTGAGGACTATGTGGAGCTGGTGCAGCGGAAGCGAGTGTGAGTCCTGCCAGGGCTGCTGCCCTCTCGTCCTCCCACCTGGTCCTGAACAGTCTCAGGGATCTGGTATGGCTCTGATCGGGGGTAGGAGCTGGCTGTGGAGCGGGACACGAGAGGGTTGCGACTAGCAGTGCTTAGCAGAGGAAGTGAGAGGGCTCCCTGGCTCAGAGAGTGGGGTGCCCTGAGGGGAGGGCCTCCAAGGCTGAACTGGGCAGAATTGTGGGGGCCACCCGCCTTGCTGACCCTAGTGTGGGTACCTCCAGGAGCGTGTGGAATGTGCCCTACATTTCCCAGGCATATGTGATCCGAGGGGAGACCCTAAGGACAGAGCTGCCCCAGAGGGAGGTGTTTTCGGGCAGCGACACTGACCCAGACATGGCCTTCTGTAAGAGCCTGCGGGAGAAGGTGAGCGGGGCAGTCGGGCCCAGTGCTGGGAGGAGCCGAGACCCTTGTGTCTCCTTCTCACGTCCTCTCTCCACTCCAGGGCATCTTCCTCCATCTCAGCAATCAGCAGGAGTTCGGCCGACTCCTGGCCACTTCCCGTTACGACACAGACCACCTGCATCCCGACCTCTGGCAGATCTTTGACAACCCCGTAGTGAGTAGTGGGCCCCTCGCTCAAAGAATGTGAGTGCCCTTCACTGTAGGAGGGTGCACGTGGGCACGCACACCCTTGCGGGACCTGCTGCTGCCCAG